AGGTGTAATCCTTTGATTAATATGGATAAGATAAATGCCTCCAATATTTGGTGATTTGGCCACTTACTAAATATATCGGCCATCTAGCCATAGTACAAATCCACCGCCTTCCCTAAGTTCATTTTGCTGTTCATTAACCTCTCTTGAAGGCAATCCTCAAAACCAATTGGCCAAAAATGGATTAAAAATGCATTCTTCAATGCTTTCCAATTTAAAAATTGATCCACTAATTGGCAGTTGTACCATTCAAATGCCATGTCCTTTAAGTTTGCTGGCAACCATCGTAACCAAATATCTTTGGTTCTTCCATTATTGGCTACAAATGCTGTCATAAATTGAGACAAATGTTGATTGAGATCAGCATCCAAAAAATTCCTAAAAATAGGTAATAGAGCCATGCTTGTTGTGTAATTGCTCACATCATCAATTTGTACTGCTATTAGAACTACAAGACCACTCGTCGCCATTGAAGAAAATAATGTACTACTTAATCTTTTGTTAAAATAATCGGTGCCTTTCTCAATTAATTATTTTAAACTTTTAATTTTCCTCAATTTACTATTATTATCCTCTAATAAGTTATTTGATCAAATGGGAGGTGAAAACAATGGATTTTGAAATACTTTGAATTAGCCCTTATTGACTAGTAATATTTGCCATTCTATGAAATCAGTTTTGACGGAATTGGCAGCTTCCATTATTGAAAATGTATCTAAGGAAGTATCCAATTCTTCTGTGATTCTCTCACTCGTAGTTAATAGCTTCACAGGAAACACTTGTCTATTGACTCAATTCTCCATGAGTGCTTTTAGTAATTTCTCTAATGATATATACTTTTGAAATATTAAATGTTGATTGGCTTCTAATTACACTTGGATATATCGACATGCATGCAACCATGGCTTAAGCCAACTCTGTGGATGTTTCCTTTTTAACTTTTGTTCTTGCTCGTTACTCAACAAATTTCCTGCTTGTAATCTCTCTATTCTTTCTTTTGACTGCCATATTCTCTTTATTATTAAGTTTTCACTCTTAATAACCATACTCTATCATTATATTCTACTGAGTATACTTCCTATTTCCTATCTATTCATCTAGCAGTCAATTCCTAATGCTCAATGCTATTGTCAATCTTTGACAATGGCGCCAAAATATAATTGTCGTTTTACTTATTCTACAAATTTCTTTGAGAATAAACTTATATAAGGAGATTCGAACGTAGGAAAAGACTAATGGCATGAGTTCTACTTATTAGGGTCACACAATTAACCATATTCCGAACCACTGAAAATACCAAAGAATACTACAATGTTTTCTACTTCCTAATAGTATATTACAATCACTGATAATAACAAAGCATAACTCTTGCACTGTCTTAAAAGATCGCTCCAAATATATAAATTCCATCCAACACCAAAAATAATAGACTTCCACTCCAAACAATTTGTCTTCACACAATTTCTGTAATCACAGACTTCTTCCTTCAAAACACACAGCTCTCAATAATTAATAATCATAATCTTCCATCCATTAACAATCTTCCATAGAAACTGATAATCAACTCCCAATATCTTCTCACAATAATCCAACCACATAGTACTCTAATTACATACTCAATATCTTATAAATCAATCTCTGATTTATTCCACAGACTCACTTCACAATATTTAGAAACTATCCATTACTCTTCAACAACAAAGAAACAAAGAGGTAGCACCAAGCTTACCCTGGCTCATGACTATCACAGTCTAGTCGTTAGACTAACTTCTACAACTTCTATATACTTATTCCTTATTCCCAAATTCTAACCGTAATCTTGTAATTAACCATTTTTAATAACTAAGTTAACCATCTGTCCTCCTGAACTGACTATTCTATGGACTATTAGTCTATTTTACCAATATCTTATAAAAACGAACTAATATCTATTCTACAACTAATATGAAATTGAATTCAATTTGGTTAATAAATTATAGATATTATTGCAATATTACAATATTTTCTTTTAGATATAACAATTTAGTACAATAGTCTAAATTTTACAAGACAACAAATATCTTATATCTTGTATGTATTAGAATGATTGATTATAAATATAAATACAAATTTGGTCTAATTTATAACATTATTTAGATATAATACAATATGATTGCATATTTTAGATTGCTATCAAAGAAAAAAACATGATCTATATCCAAGATTTTTTTTTTTTTAAATATCTTAAAAAAATAAATTCTTATATATATATTTTTTAAATATAATATTATAGATCTTATTCAATATATTATTTTTATCTAAAAATCATATTTACTTTTACAATATTTTTTTAGTATTAATTTACTTATTATTAATAAGACCAAAATAAAATTTTGTTAAATTTTTAATAAAAGTCAATAATAAAAATAATCTAATAATGTCTTCAATGCTTAAGATTAGAAATCTAGCCAATCTTATGAAAGATTTTTTTTTACAAAATTAAGTCTTTTTAGCTATGTTGTAAGCTGTAAATTTGTTTCTTATATAAACTATTAATTATATAAAAAAAATATTATATATTATATTAATTATAATTATATATCCAAGATAAATTTTTAAAATAAAATTATTTAAAACTTGCACCCATTTTATCTATATTTTTTAATAATCATAATTTTAAAAATATATTTTTTATATTTTTTATATATATATATATGTATTTTTTATAATAGCTTTAATTGAAATTCAAGCAATTTATTTTAAGATCTAATTTCTTTAAATATATATATATATATATATATATATATATATATATATATCTTTTATACTTAAGTATTTTTCATCTTTTATATTTTATGAGCAATTATAAATTTATTTATATAGAAGAATGCTAAATAGATCCAAATTTTTACTAAATCAATGCATGTATCTAAATCATTATTATACTTCTTCTCCCTCCATCTCTCCTTCTCTTTCTTTCTATCCCTTCTTTTTGTTTCTCTTGTTCCTAGCATTTCCAATCTCTCCAACCATATTTCCAACCCTTGTTCCTCATCCCAATCCATTTTCTTTTCTCAATGTAAGTTCCTCTATTTGTCGTCTCTATTCTCAATTCCTATCTCTCTTTTCTCTTCTTTTTTGTATGCTATCTTTATTTCCAAACTTGTTCATTCTCCTAATTAATTATTGTTATTGTAGTCCCATTTAATCTTCAGATCTAAATCTTCTAAAATTCCACCCCACCCATTTCACAACAACTAGTTGTATATTAATCTTTCACATGTAGCATAATTTGCAATATAAGAATTAGTTTTATTGGCAATGTTTAAGGCTTCGATTTTTGAGGCTAAAAGATGGGTGGTTTTTAACATCTATATTCTAAGATCTTTAGTGCTTAATAATTATCAATTTTATTTATCTACCCTTTGGTAAATAGTCCAATTTGATGTTATATCAAATAATAGAAAGTCTTGCAATATTATGAATATGTTGGTCAAATAGGCATTGTAACAAATATTTTCATTCTCTCTGCCTATAATTGAACCATGTATAAACTTTACAAGTCTATGAGTCATGTTACCATAGCAAAAGCTATGCCTTATGGTAGAACTATTTTCTTTGGATCTTTATGATCTATATGACAAAATAGATACTGATGATACAAAAGAAAGCAAGAAAATACAAGATGGAAAGTGAATTCGATATAAGATTTAGATTAAGTTGTAAAAACAACCATTACAAAATTAAATTGGTAATGCATCATTATATCTAATGCATTTAAAACATCAATAGTCTATGGCCAACAACTTGCTTGTTTGAACTCTCACATGGACTTGTTTGGCATGGCTAGGATGGAGTATTTAAGAACAATTATCTTGAACAACTTGTATTAGGAAGCATTATTTTGTGTTGTAGCAAAGTAGAGATTGTAGATTGACATACAATCTAAATTGATAGCTTGAGATCATTGGTTCCCATTTGGATTCTATTTCCTAATAGGAAAATAAAAATTGATAAATTTTAAGATACACAATTTGATAATTAATTTTTTCAAGTTTCCTTTCTTTGAGTAAATAGTCTAAATTTGATTTGATTGGTTGCACTTGTTGCATTAGTTGCAAAGGATTAGTCTTCACAGTTAATAAAATTTAGCACTACAATTTCTTGGCACTTAGAAAATACTTGGCAAAACAAATTTGTATTTGTGTTGCAAATTGTGTTATATCTTATAGATTGATATACAATTAAGCTTTTGAAATTTAATTCAAAGTTATGATTGTGATGAAATGGATAGAGTGGAATTTTTGAAGACATAGATTTGAGATTAAATGAGATGATGACAATGACTACTTAAAATGGGGGAGTAGATTAGGAATAAAGACGGCAGATAGGAGACGAGAGGAATGAAGGATAGAAATAGGAGTTGGGAATGGAATTGAAGTCAAAAAAGATAAGAACAAGGAAAACAGAGACAAGAAACAAAGAGATATAATGATAGTTTAGATAAGTGCATCAATTTATTAAAAACTTTGGTCTATATAACATTTACCTTTAAATATCACTATATTAATAGCTCTTTTTTTATTTTTTTGTATAACTTATTTTTAAAATTTTAAATAAAAATCATTAAAAAATATTTTAATTTTAAAAAATAAATATAAATAACATATAAAGAAAAGTATTTTTTTTTTTTGTAAGATTTATTTATATTGATTAAGTAAACATTATTAATTAGAAGTAGGTAGAATATGCTATATAGATATTATCTTTCTTTAAAATAATTGAAAAAGATTTGTAATTGCAAATTAAATCTTTACATTCTTATAGATATGCAATATAGCTCTTAAAACTTGTGCTACAAGTTTCTAACTTTTGTAAATCCGAATTAGAAGCAACCTACAACTTGATGCTTGGAGAAAAAAGGTTGCAATCTAAATGTAGTGATTAAATTAGTGAGTTTGAGGTGGAAAACAAGGAAGATGATCACATTTGCAGAATTCAAAAGAATAAATAAACGAAGGAAGGAAGGAAGGAAAGAATGAATGAATAAAGAAATGCAAAAGGTGGATGTGAAGGAATAAATGAATGAATGGGGTGGGTCACTGGTTGCTCTCCGAGGAGGGAGGGGGGGGGGTCCAGGTGGGAACAGCTTCCAGATTGCAGCATCGAATCTAAATTCTACTTCTACTTCGATCCATTCCCCTAATTAATTAATTAATCCCCCCCCCCCCAAGGCCAATACTAGGAAGTTGCTCCCTCCGAAATTTATACTCCCCTTCATCCCCTATCCTCCCCCCGAAATTCATTCAATCATTCATTCAATTAATGAATCAGCTGGACTAATTCTCTGGCTCTTCCTCCCTCCACCTGATCATCACTCGCTATATAACTTAACTTTACGAACTGTTCTTTTTCTCATTCCTTTCCTCTATTTGCATGAATGCATGCATCCACGTTGGAATCATTCTTCTGGAGAAATAAAACCACACCATTCCACCCTCCACCGCGTACAACACACCTCTTGCGTTTTGCCCGTCCACAACAAACAAATAGTATGTATATCTCTCTCAAATCCGGTCTGCAGTCCCGCAAAATGCCATTTTCATCGGAATTCATCGTGTATTGCGGGGTCGAACTCGTCTTCATCGTATGCCGTGCTGTAAAAAATGTAGGGATGGTTCAGCATCTCATCTAGCGACAACCGTTCATCCCTGTTCTCATCAGCCTGAACAGAACACAACACAACAGAACGCCACACCAGTCACTCACTCACTGGCACCCCAACATTGTTGTGAATGCTTATAACCAGTGCCAACTTCCTTACCCTGAGATTCACAATCTTCCAGTACATTTTGAGGAGTATTCACAACCCTAAACTCTAAACATTAACAGAGATGTTTGAAACCAAATATTGAGCTGACACACCCTAAATATTTTGACCCGGACATTGATGTACAAAAATTCTTCATTTTCACCCAGACGCACGAACTACTTAAATGGGCTTCCACATAAGCACATGACAATGTTTAACACAATATAGAAAAGACGGCGAACCTCATGTAAAAGGTAGTCGGATTGCTGCTTTGCGTAGTATAATTCTCCTGGTCTGAGTTTCTCCATGACAGGGGCAATCTCATCTTCAGTCAAATAGCTGAATATCATGCACCCGGGAGACACCGATTATTTTTATTGTTTTTTACGTAGTTGTGAATTATCTTTTAAATGATGGGCACTGCTAAATAGGTCACAAAGTAATACGAGTACCACTTACGCGAGCACACTTAACCGAGTAGGTACTAGAATACCACGGGCAATAGATTTGGAAACAACAGCCAAAGAAAGGCAAGGAGAAGCTTAAATGCAACAAGACATCAAGGTTAAGTCTCAACCTTAACCCGAAACAACCACTAACTGCGATCACAAGAATCGAAAGGATTGGTTTGAAGGGCAAAGGTAAGCAGGCTAACCCATCCTTGTTTCTGTCCAGTTCAGCGAATTTTCGTTTCGACTGAACTAGCTTTTCTGCTTCGAGCTGTTCTGCTAGTTTGGGGTGATGATAATCTTGTTCATCTTGCAATTGGTCGAACAATCCATGGTGAAACTCCTCCCAGCCTATCTTTCCATCTTTGTTTGTATCATGAGTCCTACATCAAGTTCACAAACCGCAATTGATATCCCAGTATTTATGAAAGAGTCAAGGACAGAACATCTTCTGCGTCTTGCGGGCAGACATTACCTTATTTGTTCCAGCCGGCACCACTGACGCACCCGAGGGTTATTACTGTCGTCGGGATGTAAAAAGCTGCAATGAATAAGAACGCTTTCGGTTAAAAGCTTTGTCCCGTCCTGGCAAATTGGCTCCAAATAATCGACTAATCAAAAAAAATTAACCGCATACTCAAGGTTGTGCACCACTAGTTTCACCTCTTAAAAGTGACGGTGGGACCATAACAAGACTCATTCCTTGTAATTCCTTAAAAGTAGGGCACAGACGCGGTACACACCCAGCCTATCCGCCCGCCTCCAAGTGGGCAAGATAATAGTAAATACCAGTGCAATTAACCATATAACTCCTGAAATATATAAGAAAATTATCTGATCGAGGTATTTGCAGGTATAAGTGACCTTACTCATTAAACTCAGTGGCATTAAGAAGCCCGTCGTTGTCTCTATCACATACTTCAAACTGCTGCTTGTACCATCCAGCATCGTCGAACTCCGTGCTGTTGTGTCCTGCAGCTACTGCTCTTAAATAGTCAAATTACTTACAATCTAGAGTAAAAAATGAAGTCAACACATATCTACTAATCGATTTGCACACCAACACTAAGCTGAGGTAAAGAGCACATTGTACACCTTGTTCTGCGCCCAACACATGTGGAAGGTACTCCTCAAGAGAGACGAGGCCATCATGATTCTTGTCATGAGATTCCATTTCACGATCGCTTCGATGTAACATTGCTTTCTTGCCTTGCACTAAATGCCATTCTAGCAGCTCAAGACTAGTGACATAGTCATCCCGTGGGTTAATGTCAATCAATGGGAACAATGAGGTGAGACGCTCGGTGATGTTGAACTGATCTTCATCATTCAAATACTCCTCAGGATCTTCGTAATCTGGATCCACATCGTGAGGGTCGACTTGATCATTCTTCAAGATCTGCCATCTCCAATATTACCAACAAATCACAACCTGCATCTAGAGTGCTCAAATGATAGACACGCCAGCTCAAAATTTGAAGAAGTTCCTAACTACCCGGAAAGAATCCTACTATACTACAGACCTACCTTAAGAGGTTCCCCACGATACGGTTCCTCGTGGTGACTTATACCACCGTTTTTTTGCAGTTGCTCTCCCAATTTCTTATACTGATCCTCGAAATGCTGCTTCTCCCATGCTAGATCCTCTTTTCTTCTTTCAAAGTCTGCAACTATGGGATCAAATGCTACGGGATCGTGGTGTTTCTTGTCATGATGCACCGCACGAACCTTTATTCGTTTACCAGGAAGTGTTCTTCTATGGGATCTTGTGTGTAGATTCGAAGGGCTATGCGACACAAGGTAAAGTGTCATGAATGCAACCACCAGCAGCAAGTAAATAAAGGATGAAAAGCTTGTCGACGCTGCCATTGTCCCGCTACCCTCATGCGAGTAATTCCCTTTGAAAAGCACAGAACTTAGAAGAAATCCATTGTTTGTCCTGATCACAAAAGTCCAAACAGTATGTCAATTCACACAATTCATCCAAGCTATATAATATCCTTTGCAGAAACCCCATAGAAAGTCGGCAACATTCATCGCCACTTGTGCGAACAGTCCAATTTGACATAAACGCGTAGTTCAAAGAAATGCCCAAAAATCAATGGCCAATCCAGTCACGCCTTCAGCACTGCAGATTACTGAAGAGCACAGTTGACAAATGCCAACATGCAAGGTAGAAAGAGCTAAGGCAACACGCACAAGAGGACATGATACGCAAGATAACGTAAGTCAATAAACACTAGAGGCAATTTGAAGATTTCACAGCCAACAGTAATAAGCTTTTTGACTTCCAAAAACTAACTGTCAAAGGGATAATAGTATTCTCAAAACTCAAAGATTGGCCGAAGATCAACGTTAACTAGAGAGAACTCCAACACAGCAAGATTTGAAGGAAGTTGCTCCATTCTCAAATGAATCGCGCTTTTCATATAACTACATACCGAAAGGATGAATCATTCAGGACAGGACAGCTGCTTCATAGGCAACGCACTGTGCTGAAAGCAACACAAAAGTAAATGAGGCGATTGAGTGGAGCCAACGAAATTCCAGGAGTAACAACCCAATACACGAGGTGGCAAGTTCTCCCCTTCCAACTAAGCACGTAGGTCATACAACATCTGCATTGTTATCGCTAAGGCCGAACCCTAAAGTAAGTAGTCTCGGCAGATACGTAATGTAGCTCACAAGATCTACTCTTTAAAAAGTAAGAAGCGGAGACCCAATGCATGACTTCGTAAAAAAAACGTTTAACACAACACACGATCATGAACAAGATCCCAGTGAGATACAAGGAGGAATCCAAAAATCAAAGCACCGCGACAGCAAGAGATATCTTACAAAAAAAATTCTGGATTGTGAATATGCGAACAATGCAAAAGACGAGAGTCAGATAGTAGTGCTGGAAAAGAGAGAGGGCAAAATCCTAGTGAGATAAGAGGACGCGGAGAATGAGAAGACACCAAGGGGAGGGGTTCAAGACCACGTTCCACGACGACGAGAAGGACCAGAGCTTCGATGGCAAGAGAGCAGAAGGTGGTGTCAGAGAACAACGTTGCAGGAGATCAGAGAAAGTAAGCAAAGACTGGGATGGAGGGTCGATTGGTCTCGAATAGGCATTGCCACTTGTGGTATCGTAACTTTCGGACCTACTCACGAGAGTCCGGATCCTAATTTGAGAAATCGTCGGGGTCATATGCCCATATTCATCATATTTTAGGACCCTTTGCTGATCGCTCATTCTAACCGCATCGGCGGCACCTGCCACAAGAGTCAATTTTTTACACAAATTCCAGTAAAAACGGTAATTACTTCTGCACACCTGTTTCCATTGGTGGTCGCCGTGGTGGGATCCTCGTTTAAACCTTAAAGCCTCATCATCGACCACGCGTTGTCTTCCCTGTGATACCGCCTTCAGATGCACGAGGCTGCGTTCATTTCTCCTAATGGAATGTAATCTCCCATCACAGCTTGACTGTTCGAACTTCGTTTTCTTAGAACGCAAACAAAGTGAGCGACGCGATGAGGTCACGATTAAACGACCTACCTCAAGCAGGAAAGTTCCTGCCATCGCCATCTCAGTATCGATCAGAATTGAAGGGCTTATTGACTATATTCAGAGCTACAGTAAGGTCGGTTATTTGCTTGCTAATTGCATATGAAGTTTTCTTTTGCTCGAAATCGATCTCAGCGACGTCATTCTATGTTGATGCAATATGCATAGCCATTGTGACCATGACGACCGTGAGGTATGGAGGCCTAGTTTCCAAAACCGTCAGCGTTGAGCCTTACACGGGCAGATTTGTTTTCGAAGGACTCATTCCAGTGGTTGTGCTCATGAGTGATGCAGTAAACTACATGGCAACGTTGTGGTGAGGAATTTTTAAACTATAAGCTCGAGGAGGAGGGCGGAGTCGTAGAAGATGAAGTGGAATACGTCTTGAAGGTTGTCGCTATCCTTGATTATGATAAGTCTGGGTGCTCTTAACATGGCGGATACTTACATGGCAAGAGAGACAAGACTTAAATTTTTAGTATGACAAGGGTTTCCATGGATCACTGTGTTTCATCTGTGAGTAAGATTCTTCGCAACTACCGTCCCCATTTCTATCAATACATAAAAAGGAGTTATTCACTTTTTTGGAGGTTTGATGTTTTCACTTTTCTACCCGGTTTAGATTTTAATTTGGATTCTTGTGCTCTTAGGTTTGTGATTAATGTAGGTGAGAGCATTAGTCGTCAACGAGAATAGCATTAGTTTTTAAAATGATCTATTTCACAGTATCCAGCAACCTCTGCTAAGAAAAATTATTTCTGGACCAATGGATTCGGATAACTGATGTTATGGTTTATAAAAATGACTAGTTGGATGTTCGCGTGGATATCAACACACTCGAGACATGGCGTACAGTGAGTTCAATGAACGACCTCCAGTTCAAGCTTCAGACAATTGTGATATGTTAGTTGCTGTGTGTATGAAACGTAACTGGTGTTTAGATTTTCTTTTAAGCCAAAATATGTTGATAGAGGCCGGGGGGTGCGGCCGTGCAAAAGAGGACAAGCATGTTCTACAGCCTTTCATGACGAGTGCATGCTAAGACTATTCAATATTGATTTCCGATAAGTTAAAGCTGGCATTCGGCATCAAAACTAAAACAGACGGTTATGACTCGGGATTAATCAGTGATACCATATATCTCTCAAATAGAAATTGTGGGGTAAGATACTTGCAAAGTTCAGCCCAGTGATCGAAATATTGCCAAGAGCTAAGGGAAGATCCTAGTTCTTTCTCATGGCTCACTTCAACACCTTTGTCGAGGCGCATGTTGGCATACATCAGTCTATCTGCAAATTTGTCAATGGGGTAAACAAAATTGTCTTTTCATCTGCTTCCTAGACCATTTATACATAATATGAACAATAATGCTCACTGACAGTCTATGCAACATTACATCTGCACATCACATCCCTGCATGCTCAACTTATATCTTTTGAGATCCTTGTTTTCTCTCTCCAGCTCCTTGTTTTTTTTCTCAAGCTCTTCTATATGTTTTGTTTGCTCGGAATCCTTCCTGCAAATAATCAGCAACGGACAAAAATCATGCTGGTCACCATATTACTTGTCACACGGTTTAGAGAGCAGACGAAAGATAATCAGTTAACATGCCAAGTCTCAACGTGGCCGGAAAACTTCTCAGCACTCTCTACCACATATTCGCAAACCAGGTCATGCATGGAATATATCTTTGTCAGCTACAACCAATCAGCTCGTACCACATTGTGGTTCAGTGCCCTATCAATCTTCTGTACCGTATAGCCTACACGCGTGAGGTTCAGAGCAGCACTGAAAATATTATCTCTTTCATCTACCTACACAATCAGCCTGACCACAACGGCGTGATTTACCTGTTCATAAACGATAGAGTCATTCGCAGGGACCGAACATCCTTTTCCAACTCATCAAGTCGCTTCACAGCAGCTTGCAGATCAGGAGGTCCAGCAACAGATGTGAATCCTCTACCCTTGGCCTCTGTCATTCTGCCATACACCCACAATGAGTACACTGATTAAATAAACCATGAAAATGCGCAAAAAAATTACAGAAGGAATTATCCTGAAACAATAAATTGATCAAGTTTATTATCTGATTATTTAATAGAAACGTTTTGATAAAACATCACATATGCAGGGTCTTACTTGCGATGTCGATCTACTCGACGTTTTTTGGTAGCAACGTCTATGCTATCCAAGCTTGCCCCTGAATGCAACTCAACCAGTTTCACAGACGAACACGTACAGATTAATGTATATTTCAGCACAACTAAATTTCAACATCGTGCAGGAATTCCACCGTAAGCAGACAACAGTGCAAAACATTCCACATACTCGTACAAATAAAACTGCGAGTAAACTGAGCAAGAGCAAGGTTTTCATTGGAGAGAACAATTATGAGCTGAACTCTTCAGTGCCAGCGAATCCACATTTCAGTACATGTCAAGGAAAGCCACATAAGGGAGGGACTACCTACCAGATATGGCTGCAGAATTGATGGACCCCATCCCTCGTAAACTATCCGGCACCTGCAAATGAAGAGGCTGCTTTGATCAAGATCAGAAAGCTCTATCTGATATCCAAAATATATATTGCAAGCTCCTCCCAACTTCCTAGAGGGATAGCTCAAAAACGTTCGTCATACTAAGGGGATAGTCAAAAGAGTGCAACTTCATTTTACAGGAATCGAAAAGAACCCAAACTGGATATGTTAACCATGTTATACCTTCGGTAGGGGTTCTTGGTTCTTAACTGAACCTTGAAACTCCAATCCCCCTGCTTGCAAAGACACACCATATGACTATCAAACAAAAAAATTCAAGAGCCACAAATTATGACACAACAAGAGACTTCATGAACGTAGCCGTAAGCCCCTAAACTCTGGTTCGTCTGAATAAGGTCTCTCCAATTGATAAACTCTGAAGTCGACTCACAATTAACTAACCACTTTAATGAACCGCTGCTTGCAACCTAACAAAGAAAAAACGACCATAGCTATACTTGAATAAGAGATATAACATTTGAAATGCTAAAGATACTCAAAACTGGTAAGGTCATATGCACAGACTAAAGGAGGACCAAGTTATTACTACGTTTCTCATCGGCGTAATGAGTGTAGTCTTGAGCACGAACCTAGGTCTGACATGGAGAAGGGTTCTGCCAAATTATGATCTCTTTCAGCATTCGCCCGTTTCAAGCTCTTGCTTCGCCCCATCATATTAGTCTGCCCTGAAGTACAAGGTATTTCATTCGAAATCTCCAATCTTAAATTTGGTGTTCCGCCGGATGAGTCACTAATTTTTGGCACTTGAACACTCTGCTGAACATAGCTCTCATCTGTTGGCCTTGAATTAATATTGTCCGTGTTCATATGCACATGCCTTTCCACTGTAGTATGAGGCCACTTTGAACCAGAGTTGATCTGCTTCATACCGATGCTCGAAGAGTCCAGTATGCCTGGTGGTGAGATCATAAAGTCACTCATACCCTGATTTTGTGCTTTCTTTCCTTTCATATCTTCAGAAACTCTAACATGGTTTTCAGGTTGGAAACCCAGTCTTAGCTTTGCTCTATTTAAACTACCCTTGAGCATGCCGACATAATCTGACACTGAAGTACTGACTGGGGGAGGTTGAGAGGAAGAGGGATCCGATGTCGGGATAGGTGCAAGTGCATGGGTAGCAGCTGTCCACCCGTCTTCTGTAGCAACAGTGCTGGGCTCCTTGTAAGAGACAGGTATTGTAGCCAAGTTGGTTCGTGGAACTACGGCGGTTCCCGACTCTACAAATCTACGCCTGTAGGCATTGCACATCTAGGGAGTTAGTACTGACGTGCATGAATGTTTCATCCCGCGAATACTATTCTAAAAGACGACTTCTTTTAATTCTGTACAAATTGAAACAGTTATCTCCGACGAATTCTTGAACAGCCCAGAATAACTATCGAAACAAGCCTAGCTGAGCAAGAGAACACCAATTACCACCTGGTAATGCAGGTAAAGAATGGTCAAGATCTCGACAATGAGTATGAGCCTGACTTTGGCGAACATGGGAGCTAAATCACATAAAGGAAAAGTACTAGTATTATGATTCCCTATTAGATGTAATTTCTCTATGAACTAGATCATCAAGTACCTCAGTTCTGAAGAGCGACTGCGTGTTACAGGCGCCTGTGAATCGAACCACATTTTCTGTGCTACCTGCCATAAACAACTTCTTGCTGGGATTACCTACAACCCTGATCAGCAATCCCTGACCTTCCACTAAAAAGAAGAATGACGTCTATATAAAGGCGACCCATCAGAAAAAGACGAGCTTGATTATAGGACAATAATTCTTGAATTACTTTGGTCTTTTCTTTGACGCATCGCTAATGACCGTGGTGTTACTACTGTAAAATTAAATTAATGTAAAATACCTATAGCTCATACAATAGATATACAAACCAAATCATAGTCCAGAGACTACACAACACATGTACGGAACCATCAATCCAAGGAAGCACTAACTACTAGGCTAGAAAATACCCTCGTCAATTCAAACAAATAGAACACAGCATGCATTGGTGCACGTTGATCTTTCTACATCATAAACTGACGCTGACCTAGATATGAATAAAGCGAGCTTCAGTAAATGCAGCTCAATGAAAAGTCCTTGTCAATGAGAATGAACCTTCGACTGAAATAAATCTGGTGCCGAGCGAGATTGCTTACTTGAACCATTACTGAGTCTGAAGCAGCACACATGTCAGAACAAATGGCTGGTTCAAATGTTCCTTGCCCTTAAAATATTTACACTACCTTAATCAACGTACGTAACCAATCTGAACCTCAAAAAACAAAGATCTTGCCAGAAGATTAGGCACTGCAGCGATACATTAAATAAGACGAAGCACACATTGGAACACAAAGGGAGAAGAGTCCAAATGCATTACCTAGACTTCATGGTGGCCTCCAGAGAATTATCAGGGTTAGGAAAAGATTTAGGCTGCGCGTAAACATCTTTCACACCATCAACTCGCTGAAAGAGGTCAATGCTACCAATGGTAAAGTTGTTATTGAAATTGTTCTGCTGCTTAAGAATTGCTGCCAGCTCGCCAGACACTCTGCATACAAAATTGTAACGAAAATCATTGTTTCAGACACAAAACAGCAATAGAGGTTTTATACCTATACCTCAACATGACCAATGATAAGGTTACGATCGGCCATCTCCCCAAAATCGTATTTAAACTTCAATTATCAGATTTTAATTTGCTACTAACCTGCGAGGTACTGGCCGGGCGCGTTGTGAACGACCAGGAGTTGTGGCGCCAGTATTGGTTTCAGTATTCTGCGAAAGACAATTGCTTCGGTTCTCTCAGGGTCATCACGGGGAACTCCTCCAAGTAAGGCGTTGTCACAACACTTCTTCGTATTCAATACAGGGTTTTGTCAACTGGAAATAATCTCTTCATAAAAACCCCAACCTAACCAACCCACCACCACCACCACCATTTTTTGGTTTGCAATTTGAGCATCCAAGAAGCATTGGAGTACACACCTGGTTTAGAGTACTACCAGCAGAGTTAATCCAGGAAGAGAAGAGCTCCTCGCTGTCTCCCCTAGCATATTTGTTAGGGTCTGTGACAGGCGACGGGCCCAAGTTTTCAGCGGACGTCAAAGCGGGAGGCGAGGACTTTGTACTGCTCTCGAAAAAGCTCTGGATGAAGAGCTCCTCGGTCGTCTTTCGGGCAAAGCCTCCGAATTGCTCCATCTGCGCGGCTTGCTCTGCCAAGGAGCCAGGCGCTGATTGCAGAGAAGGCTGCGCGGTGGCCTTGAAGGCGAGCGAGAAGGCGGGAGAATGAGCCTGGGGGCCTTTGGATTGTAATTCGTGGAATCGACGAGTAAGTCGCCGCTCTCCCTGCATCTCCATAGTCCAATATGATCCAGGAGTGATGAAGGGGTGCTGAGTCACATAATCCGAATAGAAACGAGGATGGAGGAGCACGGGAGAGGGGAAAAAATGAGAAACCTAGTGAGCAGAAAAGAAACGAGGGAAATGACGAAAGGACCTGAAGATGCGACTGAAATCTGGAGGATTGGGAATGCAATGTAACAGGAGAGAGAGAATAGAGGGGAGGGGTTGGCGGGATGTAAGGGTTGAAGACTTGCGATAGACTAACATGAAGTGGGCAGCATTGAACATTGAGGGGGGGGGGGGGGGGGGGAAAGGGGGGGAGTATCTAACGGAGAGGGAGGAAGAAGAAGTCAACAAAAGAGGACAATTCTACAGCTGAGTGTAGTGGGCTAGCGCTTGTGAAGGACGAAAAAGAAGGACGAGGAAGGCAAGAATGCCTGAAGCTCAGAACTTTGGGCCCCCTGAAGCTGCCGGTGACTAGGCGGGTAGCTTCGAAATATACTGATTCATACGGCACTGTGATATACTGAAGGAGTGTTGCATCTGAAGCATGCTTGTGCTACTTTCTATCAACTTCTCCATGTCCGCCTCATTTCGACTCTTGCTATCTGTGGTTCCGATTCCTTCCCCGTCTCTGTTATCCTTTCACGACACAAGGTTACCATCTCGGCTAAATAAGAGGGCTGCAGCGGCACTGGCATTTGCTGTACCATTGATTTATTAGTACACACCCGGCAGTCCGCACAAGGAACCTTAAGTCAAATTTACGTTTAAGAAGTTTCATGCTTGATCAATCATTGATTTTGTTTGATAATCTCCGCTTCGGGTTTCCACCTTCACCTCAACTGACGTTGTGACCATTCTTCGGAAATAATGTGTGTAATTGCGCATGAAATCCCATTGCCCGTAGTATTATACATATGAATATGTGAATATATATATATATATATATATATATATCTCTCTCTCTCTCTCTCTCTCTCTCTCTATATATATATATATATATATATGTGTGTGTCCTCTCCTCCCTGCATTATTATCTCAACTCTTTCGGGATACCCCTTTTCCCCTTCTTTTCCACGTGCGCCACTGCATCCCTTCATGTTCCCAGGCTCATCATGCTTGGCATTATCTCATTGTATATTTCTTTTGTTTTCACTTCGTGTCCATCTGTACGTTATTTCGTTTGTCCTACCCTCCGTCTTTCCTTCTCCTTCATTCTTCTTTTTCTCTTTGAGAATTTGAATCTACAAGGCTCTATATCGCAAAGGATGTGACAGAGGCGAGGATGGGAATCCACAAAATGTTCCTTAGAACCCAAGTCGTTGGCAATTGAGTCCAGGCCAAAGGCTATGCATCATTGAAGAGGAAAGGGGAGTACAATCGAGATTTTGCACGTGCCATGTGGTTCAGAGAACAATGTACACCAAAAAGTATCGTAAAAGTAAAAGTCGAGGATCCTGGGAACACGTGGTTCAATTCGAGATACGGCCAGTGAAGATGGGACTAAGGGTGGGGACACGACACTGCAGAATCACCTGGTCAGCAGGAAGAAGGGGCGAGAATTATTATTATTGCCAGGGCTACGAAAGGAGAAGCAGATGACGACGACGACGACGATGGTGTACACCGTGAATAAGTAGTTCTGGCTGGGTTCATGTAGTTTGGGTGGCACTAGAGTAAGACTGTGCTGTCGCGCGCACAGACACTGCGGAAGTATCGGCATGGTGTGCTTCTCTGGGTGCTACTTATCCAGGCTAACGACGACCCCGTCAAGGCCCGATATCCCTTCCCTCCACCTGCACGTGGCCCTGCAACTAACCTGGGTCCTGAACTTGAATTCTACGACTAATTGAATCGGCTCTTTATGGGATCTCTTGATTCCCTTCTCCCTGTCCATTTCAAATGACCACTTCTTCATCTGCCTGGGTTTATTCAAGGTTTGGACGCCGGCGATTTTTCTTAGATTTTTCGACCTCTACCTGATACTCGTAATTCTTGTGGATTTGTGAACCTCCCTCGGCCGCAGTCAGAGGAATTCGCACTCCTCTGGAAGCGCGTCGTTGATGTCTAATGGGTGCTAAGAGATAATTGTTTCTGCTACTTTGGATCATTTTCTTCAGGATTGCTGGAGTGCGTGTTACAGGTACTTCCGGAGCCCACGTCTTTATGATTTTTGCTAGCGGCCCGGCCTCTTAAGTTCGCTCGTTCGCTTTGTAACATGTGCTGTTTCAATAATACGTTAATATCTAGTTCATTCAGCTAGTTGTGCGATTTCGCGACCGTTAGAAAATTTTGCTTGAGAGCTCTGAGGGAACTGCTCTCTTCAAATAATTCTCTCATTTTAGGAATCGCCTACCTGTTGTCGTTCTGTGACGTATTTCTACCTCTTCCGTGATCTGATAGTGGAAGAGGTGAATCCTGTGCTCTTCAGCACAGCTTGGAACTAATTACGAAGAATAGAGAGATTCGAGTTTGAATTTGGATTGTCCCAACTAATATTCTTCGAGGAATGCACGCCTTGTGTGTGCTTCCCAGCAACATGCATCGGTGTACGTTTAGTGTTGTAATGAGCCATTTTCTTCACTGTTTACCTGTTTGAAACCATGCTGCGACGATAAACTCAGGAGTGAGATGTGACTTGATCATTTAATAGTTTGGAACATGTAGCACAAGGTGTGTAATTCGGCATTTGGAAAGGCACGTGACCTAAACAATCGATTCCTGGTTGCATGACTGCATTCTGCAGCTTTCTGCCTAACATATGTAGATAATATATGATTTGAGAGAGACATACGAGAGCTACTGTGATGGTCGGAAGTCGACCCTCACCCTGCTTCCAGGAAAAGCTAAGGGGAAGCGAGTTAAAAGCTGCTGTGTGCCCTAAGCCCATGGGCACGTCCCTGCAAGGAGCAATTGGGAGGGTTGACAATGCCTGGGAAGATTCTGTTTGCATGAGGGCACAACCCTGGGGTATTCAAGTGAATCGTCTCGGGTTGGTCCCAGGTGCCTCAGAGGCATCTGGAGACGACCCCGAGGGCTTTGGCCGTTGAGAAGCCAAGTGTGGTGCCCCGGGACCTAGGCAGCGCATGATTAAAGTCTCGCAAATGCACTAAGTTTCTGTGTCAATCCCCGCTCGGAACTAGCCAAGATCGGAACTAGCCAAGATAAGGGTTGACACAAGTGAGCAAGCAGTGACCTATTCGCTCGGCTGTAGTAGCCACAGGACAAACCAGGGCAGTAACACAACCCAAGTGGCAACACAATTGTGGGTCACGACATGATAGGGAGTTGCCGTGGGCTTATTTTTGGCAAACGTTATTTTTCAATGAACTGGTAACTAGATGCTTGAGGCAACAAGTGCACAAGAGGTGCAATTGAGCCAATAAGCTCCAACATCATAGAGAAGGTTGGTCAAAAAGAAACCTAATATGGAAGAGGTTAAAGTTCATCTTGAAAAAGATGAAGAAGAAACAAATTGAGAAAGAGATCAAAAAGGGATCAAAAAGAGAAAGTTGAGAGTTGAAAGTTGAGAGTTAATCATATGTTGAAAAAATCCAAGATGTTGCAAATATAATTTGTAACTTACTCTAATCTTTATTCTCTTTAAAGATGGTTGATAAGACTTCTAAGCTATTGATAGTGTCCCATACTAGGACAAGAAGACCACCCTATGTCACGGACATAATCATATAAGTTAGTAATTACATATATAAATAGGTAGAAGTAAGTAAAAGTAGGTAAAAGTGAGTAAATTCTATAATATTTAATATGAAAGCTTTCTAGAAGCTTCATAGACGCTACTTTGACTTCATAGGTGTCTTTAATTGACTTTCTGGATTAGAAACGTGGTCAACAAGTTGGCCATGTGCCACACATCTTGTTAGCTTGAAGATCAAGCTAACTATGTGGCCCATACGTAGAAAAACTTGTCTTGTAAGTCAAGGCATGTATTCTACAAAGTCAACACATATTGAAGGTCCTATAGAACGTCGCCACGTAGCCCTAGTTAGATAGTATATATAGAGACAAGAGTGAAGGCTTCTTCACTCTTGTCAACTCCTTTCTTGCTTCCAGTCTAGTTTCAAGGGTCTCTAGTTTCTTTGTCTTTTGGCAATAGCCATTCCAGTTTCTCTTTCAATATACATACTTGTTTATTTATATTTTGTTACCTTTCTTTGAATGAAGGCTCACTTGTCTGAATTATTTTTTCATCGAGTTCTTGTCCTTGACAGATTGACAAGAGTACATCTACAATATCAGAGCTTTGTCTAATCTTCATTAAGAGTGGATTACCCCTTTTTCTTGATAAGATATAAGCATATTAGAAGTTGCGGATTATCCTCTTCTAAACTGATATTGTCCTTAGTATTTTCTTTGTTCTCAAGTCCTCTCTTCTATTTGTCTTGAGCGATATTAGACATCTTCTCTCTTCTAAGTGTTATGATGGCAGAACTTGTTGAAATGAAGAGTGCAATGGTACAAATGCAAGAGCAATTGAGGGAGTTAATGCTTGCGATGCATCAACTCAATTTACCACCACAATGAGCAATAAGATTCGCAGGAAGTGAAGATATAGAAATGGTTGGAGCTGCTTCAACATCTATCCCAAATCATGTCCTTTCTCCTATGGTGGAATGCCCTTCAAATGTTAGAGAACCAAGAATTGCCCTACCCGAGAAGTTTGATGGCACCAGATCCAAGTTTTGAGGATTTATCAATCAAGTGCAACTTGTGATTGAACTTCAACCCCAAAGCTATCTAACTCTAGGATCGCAAGTTAGATTCATCGGTACGCTTCTTTTAGATTCAGCACTATCGTCATTTTCATCTTTTCTTGAACGACGAGATCTAATATTGGATAATATAGAGGCTTTCTTGGCAGAGTTTCAATCCATGTATAGAGAACATGATGCAATTCGTATTGCAACCAATAAGATCTGTATTTTACAACAAGGCAATCCATCAGTAACGTTATATGCTTCACAATTTCGACAACTTACAACTGATATCAAGTGGGATGATGCTGCACTTATTAGTCAATTTTTCTACGGATTACAATATGAGGTAAAAAAATTAATGCTCAACTTACTTGATCCTCAAACATTGAGTCAAGCAATTGACTTTGCTGTGAAGTGCGACAATTGCCTCTTTGAATTTCGATCTGAGAACCGTACAAGTGAACCTCAACGTTACTATAATTCAATGGCAACACCAACACCTCTTCAACACATACATTCGGAAGTAGAGGATATGCAAATTGATGCAGTATGTTTCAAACCTCTTACTGAGC